TTTAAGAGTTTAAGAGTTTTTAAGAGTTTTAGCCAAATGCTTTATAATATAGTATAGATAAAGAGAGAGAACCAATTTTATTGTCGAATACTGAATGGGCATACACTGAATGGACTATTTATATTAACACAATCTCATGGGCCTTGGACTTTCTAACAAACTTTTACAGATATAACAATCTGGGATTTTATCCAAAAACATTCATCCCTTTAACAACAATCTTGACCTTAAGATTTGATTATACAACTTAGAACACCAATCCTGGAATTGAACTTTAGTTTTCTTAGGGGTTGTCTAGTTCGTTGCCCATTAAGTCCTGTATAGATTGATAAATCTGTCTCAATGATATTTGATAAGTTGTTCGATTGTTAAGCTGAATAATTGGTCTGAATGATGTAAATGACCATTTTACCCTTTGTCTTACATTGAACATTCAATTCCACTTATTCAACCACTAGAYAAATCGATTGTTCCTCCATAACCAAACCAAATCAAAATCAAACAAAAAACTAAATCGATTGTTCCTCCATAACCAAACCAAATCAAAATCAAACAAAAAACTAAATCGATTGTTCCTCCATAACCAAACCAAATCAAAATCAAACAAAAAACTAAATCGATTGTTCCTCCATAACCAAACCAAATCAAAATCAAACAAAAAACTAAATCGATTGTTCCTCCATAACCAAACCAGTAGACAAACCGACTGTTCCTCCATAACCAAAAAATCAGAAATCGTATTCAATTCGAAACCCAAAATCAGAAACCAATCGATATATTCAAAATCAAAAACTAAATTCGAGCCCTAAATAAAATCAAAAACTGAATTTGAACCCTAAAGGGGTTGTTCATCGAGTGAGGGTCTAAACAGAACCCATAAGATGACGAAAGATGAGAGAGAAAACTGCAAAAGAAACCTAGAAGATGCATTGGGTGCGATCTCCATGTTCCTCCAAATCTACTTCTGTTAGTCACCATCTCTCCCACCACTGTAGTTTTTGAAGTTGGGAGAGAGAGAGAACAGTGAATAGAGCGCAAAATGGAGGTGTGTGTAGAGCTTCAAGGGATGGAGGAGGTGTTGTATAGCTTCAAGGGATGGAGGAGGTGGGAGCTTCAAGTTATGGAGGCGATGGGTTTTCTTCAAGTTATGGAGCAGAGAGTATTTAAGAAAAAGTTGGGAGAAGGGTAGTTAGGGAAAAATGAAGGTTGAATAGGAAGGACACAAGTTATTTAGCTGAGTAATTCAGCCATGGACTGACCGCATAAACCCATACAGAACAACTAGATATGGCTGTGCGAATAAGCCATATAGCTTATACAGCCCCTTAAGCCGCAACCGAACAGCCCCTTAGCCAACTTCCTTTGAAATAACTCCCTTCAACACACAGCTTCAAGATCCCACATCGAACTCTATGGTAAGCTTTTTGAAATTCCATGTTATTGCCTCCAAATTACTAAGCCATTAAACCCCTAGGACCATGTCATAATTTCACAATGGAATCAAAAACATGTTTGGCTTGAATCTCAAGTTTTGCATCCTCCAAGTAAAATTCTTACAAACAAATTGCCACACCATATTAGCACAATTTGCTACTGTTACTTCTTGATGAGGAATGGAATCCAAATGCAAAGTCAACCTTTTAGCCAAATCCAAATCCAAGAGATTGTGAGTACTACCTAGATCAACCAAAATGTGAAGAGGCTTATCGTCAAAATAATCAGTCACTTTCAATGTATGAAATTTATGGTTTCACTTAATGCATTCACCGACACAGAAACCTCTATGTTAACAAGCTCAAAACTTGATCCTTACATTCAGGTTTCTCCTCTTCGTCCTCACCTACGCCTGGAATCTAAATTGAGAATAGTTGCGTTTGTTTCAACCGACAGTTGTGCCCTTTTTCATAGGGTTGATCACAGAAATAGCATAGACCTTTCATTTGTTTTTCCCTTGCAAGATTTAACTTGAAGGCGGGAGACAGAGTAGGCAGAAGAGCGCAAGGGCTTGGACACAAAATCTAAATTTTTGGACAAAGAAGACTGAAGATTATAGCATATGTGAGAAGCTTCAAGGGACTCTTCTTGAAGTCTAGCATACTTTACTGCTTCTATCTAAGTTGAAGGCGAATCAGGCAACATATTGTTTTGTTGAAGAATAACTGATCTAATATTCTCAAACTCATCAACATAAGATTCTAAATAACCTGTTTGCTGCAACTTAAACTTAACCACATTTAATCTAACATCATCTTTAAATCTTGCAGACAAATCAATGATAAATTCAGTCCAATCGACATTCTTCTTGATAGCTATGTAACTAGACATCCAAATTTCTGCCTTATAAACCATATCCACACAAGCAAATCAACTTTTTGATCTTTAAGAATTAGAACTTGTTGTACTTCTTTATTATCATTGAATTAGAACCATTAAACTTAGGAAACTCAAGTTTAGGAATATACCCTAGAGCCCTATTTGGAGGATCATTTCTCTGAGGATCGTTTAGTCTGGATTTTTCAGATTTCTTCATTCTATCGTTTATCTCTGCAATAGCCTTTATCATATTGTGATGCTTTCATTTTGGGTTTCAATTCTTTGCTCCAACGATCTGATATTTTCTTCCATGGTTTATTAACAGAGACGTTCCAATCTTTTTGGAGACCCTACTATATCAAAAACTTTTGAGTACATTGTATAAATGAGATATCAGAGAATTTATGTTAAGAACAAAAATGGGTTAAACCTATGATTTACTATATCAAAAACTTTTGAGTACATTGTATAAATGAGATATCAGAGAATTTATGTTAAGAACAAAAATGGGTTAAACCTATGATTAACAATCTGAAACTAAACCTAAACCATTAATATTTGAACCTAAAACCAAACAATTAATGATTTGAACCTAAATCATTCCCACTATAGTTTTACGCAAGTTGATAAAAAGACCTAAACACATGTAAATTTAGGCCTCAAAATTTCGGACCCTATTCAAAATCTCACATTTAACATGCTAAGAGATGACCTTGCATGGTTATAGCTTTTCTCGTAGTAGGAGCCAGTGTTGAAGGATTGAATGATTGATTCAAGAAATTAGGATTTTGCTCTCATACGAATGTCAAATTGAATTGTGAATGGACATACACAGAATGGACTATTTATATCAATACAATCTAATGGGCCTTGCACTTTCTAACAAACTTAAATAGATGTAACAATCTGGTCTTTTATCCTATAACAGTTGTAGAGAAGGAGAATTAGAAAAGGATCAAAGGGAGGGGTGATCGTAGAGTTAGTCATGATGGACAAAGGGGGAGGTGTGCGTTTGCCAGTGAGAGAAAGGAAAGGTAAGGTTACGTTAGCCATCAAGGGTCTAGTCGATTGGGAGTTTGTTAGTAGCCAGAGTGACAAGCCAGGCTGGGGTCGGTACTCGTTGGTTAGGTACAATTCAGTCCTTACTTGAGCCCGTGTTTCAACCTAGAAATCTATATCATATGGGTCACACCTGAGGAATGTGTATGATGACGCGTGAAATTTTCAGCCACAAAACTAGTAGGGTGGCTATAAAATTCAATTCTTAAGCCATAAACTCGGACATCAGTGTACATCTTACTTTAATTATTATACAGTTATTAATACTCCTGCACCACATTTTTTACTTTTCATGTTAGATAAAATATATTTTTAGCTTAATGAAACCAATACAAAAAACTATAATAAATGATCTATTATTGGTAACTTATTCGGTCGATTATACATAAAAATTTGGTATCCGCTTAATGATGTGAAAATTGATTTATTCAATAAGGTTCTAGAGGAGCTTTATGCAAAAATCAAGTTTTCCTCATTAAAGAATATGTCCATTCCATATATGAAAAAAAAAACCTTACACAAGATTTTCTCAATTAATACAGATAAATTAATCCAAACAAGGAGGTAATGGATAAAAAACCAAAGATTTCCTGAAGGACACATATAGCTTACAAAATGCATACTCCAGAACATAAATATCCATGATAGCTTCATATATGCAATTAATTAGGTGTCTAGGATTGTTCAGATGGCTAGCTATCATACACGATGGTGGATGCCTGCTGGTCATTAAGTACTGTGAACTTGCAACCAACACCATTAATTTATCACAGCATGCATGCGTGCAGCATTTATCAGCAAATTATATATATATATATATATATATATATACACACACATATAGCCATAGTATGAATTAAACCTCCTGGGTAAACATTCTAGGCATCATTATTATTTTTGAAGATTTTAGTTTCCCCTAGGGAAACTGACTTACAACTATATATTGTTCGTTTTCTTTGTGGTTTAGTAGCTTGTGTATATAGAACTTACAACTTCATGTGCTTTGTGCTATCACCATGACTTAAAGAAACTTTAGCCTTTTTGTTTTTAAGATGAGGATAATCTAGCAAGGGAATGGAGAAAAAACAACTATATTAATTAATAAATACGATGAGATGAAATTAAACAAAAGTAGAGAATCGATTGTTTGTTAATTAGGATTAAGGTCCTTGAGATTAGAAACCAAATACTACAAAACACAATACACTAAAAAGAAACCCTCTAATGAAAACCCTAATGCAAAAGAAAGAATTGGGAAGTTCCAATTAAGGTCTTAGTTTACTCTCTAAAATCATTCGATATAGGCAATCAAGTCAATACCCGAACCTATAAACCCTTGGAGGATGTTGACCATGATTTCTTTCTTGCTTCAGATAATTGACACAGAGTCATCACACTCCAAGGGTCCGTTCAAGGTGCGTTCTTGACTTCTTCCATTTTGTTTCAAAGAGTAAACAGTGCCTGCCTAATTAAATCTTCATTCCATCGTCCCATAAACTCTCTCTCTCTCTCTCTCTCTGCAATGCACACATGAAACAGTCATAATTAAGAACAATATATATATATATATATATATATATGATGATATTTACAATTGAAGTGAGATGACAATCATACCTTATATATAAAATATCCATAAGTTAGTTCATGGAGAACCTACTGCAGCTTTGATCCTTTCGACTGTGCACTTGATAAGACTATTAACCGTTGCCACCGACCCCAGGGATAATTTGGCTGTAGGAGTGGAATCTACTAGAATTTGAAACGCCACTGTCAGTAACGATCCACCGGTTCCTACCTCAGCAATTCCTCCTTGATGTTGTCCTGGTCCGTCAGGAAGTATAGCAAAACCGGATGGTAACAAGGCGACATAATCTGGATCACCCCCACTTAGAACCACATTCATCGCTACTATATCAACTGGAGCATATATAACGTAGGATCCTGTAGAATCGCTTGAACTCTCTTGTAGTATGAGCATGTTGCTTTGGCTCGAATTTGCACTCTACAGCATTTAATTTACGAGTCAGAAGTTAATATTTGATATGTTTGGTAACTGTATGTATAAGGTGCATTCATGGATGGTTTACTGAACTTAGAAACTTACATTAACGCGCAGAAGGGAGACACAGTTTCCTTGATCACGACCATTGGCAATATGTGCCATTTCTTGAACTAGTCCACCATTTGAAAGAATGTCCCACTGGATGTTAACACAACATCAATTTATAAGAAACAAAACACAATGCTACAGAGATAAGTCTTTAAACTTGTGTGTTCAACAGTTACCTCGCTCCTCGAGTTCTCATCTCGTAAAAAATCAAAAACCCGTTTTGGTTGAACAGGTATCCAGAATGAAGTTGCAGCACTCAACACGATACCAGGAGGCCTGCCTGGGTCGTTCATACTCTTACGGGTCATAACTCGAACATCATCAGCCCCACTACCGGATAAAGTTGTCCATGTGTGCGCAGTTGAAGCTCCAACACCGCTACAAAAGCTCAAAACCATTCTCTCAGCCAGTTTCAACATACTCTTTCTCCCTTCTGGAGTGGTTATAACTGCCAAATGAAACAATCAAATCAAATAGAATCATATATTTTGTGCTACTTATGTTGATTAATCTTATTACCATTAAGAAAAGATCCTGAAACTATCAATTAGTTAATACATACCTCCAACATCTCCTGCAGGAATGTTGTTAGCCATTGCACTTGCAAGTCGTTCGCATTGCCTATCTAAAGTTGCTACCCATCTTTTCGCCCCAAATGCTAGACCGGAGTTTACTAGTAACCTATAGATATTGTGAACGGCTCTATCATCAACTTCAACATGTTCAACCCAAGTAACCTACAAAACAAGAATAACATTAATTCATAATTTCTTATGCTATTAATTATATGTTACATAGTTTTCTGCTATGTATAACCTTAAGAAACTTTCAGTCTCATGCAGGATTTGTACCTTTGAGTAGCCATTGGGCAGTTCCTGAATTAAACAACCAGAAGGCCTTCTTCTACATCTTGATATGGAAGAAGGCCGCAAATTGTCCAAAGATACATCAACCACAGCCCAAGTACCATCGGAATGTTGTTTACAATACCTAACAAAGTAGTTTTCTCGTGTTGGAACCAGTGGTGAAGGCACCTGATACTCAGCTGTCATCTGATAAATTATACACAGAGATTAATGTATATCTACAGGAACATACAAAGTTAGATTTTAGGGTTATGCTGTACAACTCCACAACTAAATAGATGATTGTTTTCCCAGCTTACCACTTGCAGAGCTCCATTGTAATTGCCAGCAACTCCAGTTGAAAGCACTTCCAAGGTCATTGCTCTTGAAACAATGCCAGAAAACACATTTGACCATTGATTCTGAAAGCCATGTTGGATTTAAGCATTGAGATCAAAACAATCAAAATTTCAACTAACTTTATATAAAATATTCTTAAACATATACCACATCCATTAGAATTTCAACGAGAGTGATATGATTCATGATGACAACTGCAGATTCCCTTGAAGCCTCAGATTGTAATCCCAATGGTTTTGGTCCAATTCCCCGGGGAAACGTTTGTAAGTACTCCTCATCACTCAAGGTCTCGGATGAGTTATCCGAGTTTGGAACCCACAAGGGTTCACCAGACTGGGCCATTCTGATTAGCTCTTCCATAGCTGCAACTGCTAGCTCGATTATAATTGGCTTGTCAGCCTCAGTTGGGCCTGAAACTGACCGGAGAATGTCATTTGCACCGAACATGTCTCCCACCATCCCTTGTTGTGGACTAAAACTAGCAACAGCTAGGTCGAGCGAGCGAGTTGGTCCATGAGGCGACATATTAGGGTAACTCAACATTGGCTTGCCAACATACTTTGCAGCGATTCCAGATATCCTATCAATCTTTTGGAGAACACCAAATCAACAAACTAATATCAAAAACATCAAATATCTTGGTAAAACAACAAAATCCCATACCAAATCAAGCAATCCAAGTATATCATGCTCGGCAGGGGGCAGGGATGTAAGCAAATCCCAAAAAAACACATCTTCAGGGTGAATTTTCATTTACCTCTTCACGTAGTCGTGCATTTTCGATCCTCAAATGCTGTTCATCAAAAGACATCTCTCCGATAGCAGCAGGTCCACCACAGTTTGGACAAGTAGCATTGGCAAGGGCTTCTTTGTATCGTATGTTCTCAGATCGAAGCTTTTCATTTTCATTCCTCAGCTGTGTGTTCTCATGGCGTTCATGTTGAGCCTAAATTAAGAAGAAAATAAGATAAGAGCAACTTATTTTAGTATCTTAGAATACTTGCTTAAATTGCAAGCTGAAATTTTCTTTAAACATGCCATCTTTTACGAGAAATATGTCTGTAAAATGTAAACTAATTAATCACCTTCATTTGAGTGCGTTTATTTTGGAACCAAAATTTGACTTGCAAGGGTTCCAGAGACAATCTTCTGCCAAGTTCCTTTCTTTGCTTATCATCTGGATGTGGGCATTCTTTGAAAAACCTAACAGAAATCATGATGAAATCAATTTAAAGTCGACATTCAATAACCAAATAAACCTGAAAAAGGAATTACTTTGTTCGACATCGCCCTGAAATCCCGATTTACCCATCAGTTCCAATACTAGTAGAAATATAAATTAAATAATTATAGTAAGATAATGAAATTAAAAAAGGAAATTTAGACTAGGGTTAGCGGAAAACATACGATTCCATTTCTTGGATTTGATGTTGGGTGTGACGATGGTATCTTTTCTTTTTGTTGGGGCGTTGATTAGGATCTTGATCATCGCCGGAGTGGGCTTCCATGATATCAGTACCAGATTTACTCTCGTAGTCTTCATCTCTAAGCATATCAAGCTCATGTTCTGGGGTTTTATGGCTCATATCTAGAATATGATGATGACTCTCAAACATGTTTGGCTGAAACATCTTTTCTTCAGGTCGTTCTAAAGGGTTTTAAGTGATGTTTCTTGTTCAAATCTACAAACAGCAAGCTCTACAAGTTACAAAATGGTCATTAATTAGCTGTAATTCAAGCAAAAAAAATGAGAAAATTAGATAAGAGAGAGAGAGAGTATGGGAAATGGAATTCGAGGATGGGAATTTGCATACACAAGCAAGAGACTTGAATGACTTTAGTAGGGGTTAACAGATCCATGGTTCTTTGATAGAAAAAAGTCAACTTCATAAGCATAAAAAGTTGAAACCCCTCTCTCTCTCTCTCTAGAAAATACTTTCAGTTTCTCTTTTTTAATCCTTTTAATTTATCGAAAAGGATTATGGTTGAAAATAACAGAAATAATTTAAAGAAATTATATCAAACCAGTTCAGATCTCCAAATTATTTCACTATTCGTTACATTAAAAAGTTAAATAAATTTAAGAATTAATAAGAGCAACAACTTCAGGAATAAAACCAAGATGTATGAAGAACATATAAATTGAAAGTGAAGAGAAGATACAAACCTGATCAATAAGAGAGATGTGAAACTCAAATCAAAAACCAACCATTGATTTTAATCTTCCAAAACATAAAAAAAAAAAAAAAACAAGAAGAAATACGTTTCTGCACATTTACAAACCCTAGCAAAGATTTTTTTCCTCTCTCCTCTCTTTCTATCTCTAAAAAGAGAGTTCCTTTTGCTAGGTATGGTTATGGTTTTGGTTTTGGTTTTGGTTTTGGTAAATGAAGTCACTGAATGACTTATATGAAGAGTACAAAAGGACTAGAATTGACAAATGCAAACACTTTTGGGACTTTTTAGCAAATAAAGACATTGTCAAAGCTCCAATTCATCTCCTTTTACGTACTCCATCGAAAGACCAAATTAGAGAAAATCTTGCCCAAAAAACATTCGTTTCACTCACTGATTTCTCCATAACATCAACCGTTAAATAATGGAAAAAGTGAAAAGAAAGAGGAATCGTGTGTGTACGTTTGGAATTAAAAAATCACTAGTAACTTGAAGAAGTCAAGAAAGGTGGTACATATATAGAAAACTTACTGGTTTCTTGTATCTTGCTTCTGAAAAATCCAGCATAAAAAGATGTGGTGTTGTGTAGAAAGGGTCAACGGAAAACCACTTTTGAGAGGGTAAAAGAGTGGTTTTCAGACGAGAGTTAGATTGATGATATACCTTTCTTGTGAATAGAATTTAAGAAGAATGGGAGGAGAGAGAGAAGAGAGAAACGGATGAGAGAAAAGAGGAGATTATGAATCGAGAGAGAGAGGGGAGAACAGGTGGGAGAATTGAAGAACTTGCAGCCAGAGAGAGAGGAGTTAATGCCGAGAGTATTGAGAGGATGCAATTGCATTTATGGAGGATTGAAGTTTTTATTGCTTTTTAGAGCGAGAGAGAGAGAGTTAATGCAATCTTGATGTTCAAACTTTCCATCACACACTCGCTCTCTGTGAAAGTTTTATGTATGGTGAAAGACGAAATAAACGATTTAAGGATTTTAACTCCAATTCGTTTTCATCTCCAGCTACTACCTTTATTATGCATGTATATATGATTACCACACACACATACACACACATATCTGTGTGTTTGTGTGAGAGTGTTGTGTGTATATACACATTACATATTTAATACCATATTTGTGTGTATTTACACATTACATATTTAATACCATATTTGTGTGTATTTACACATTACATTACATATTAATGCCATTTCTTCTACAAAAATTCAACATTTTGTTACCTTGAATCGTCTCAAAAAATGCAATTTTTATTGGTATGTTTTCCTAATATATTGGGCCATTAAAATTTAATATTTGAAAATGATAATTCAGATTTATAGATAATACTTTTTTGTTATCATATTTGATTAACATCCAAACAATCTTATTAAATATTAAATCTCTTTTCTTTGCATGAGAGTATACATGGGTACTCATGGCGTTCATGTTAAAGGTTTATTTTACATATTTAGGATGAATCTAATGAAATTTTTTAAGGATTTAATCAGATTAATTTAGCTTGATGGAATTAAGAGAAATTCATTTCAGGCATCAAAATTTCTGTAATATATATTTAGTTTATGATTCAAATTATAAATAATCATGAACTCAACTTTTTGGTTGTAGGGACCAGGGAGTATGAGTTAATGGTCTGGTGAACTTTTTAATTATAGAACGAGAATTAATTTAATTTCAATATCCAAACAAAGAAAATTAATTTGATTATAAAACGAAGGCAAAAAAACAATTAAATCATACAAAGATATTTAATAGATGTATACATACATCATTTTTTTTCAATACATTAAATATAGTAAACAAATTGAAGTTCACAAATCGCATTTTATTTATTTATTTTAGTTATTCCTTAATAAAATTAAGAGTGAATTACATATTGGATCCCTTATAAATACCTTCTTTTTGGTTTTCGTCCCTCAAAATCATAAATACACTGGTGGTACAAATATCATGTTTTGGGGCTCAAATAAGTCTCTTCCACTAACACCCTTAGATAGAGCTCCATTAACTGTATCACATGGGCGGCTATTTGGTCCTTTTACCCATCTTTATCCTCTCAAGAACACATTCATCCTCACCACCGTCATCCACCCTGTCCCAAAGCTCCACATGCCACCATCCACTAGTCACCGCCATCCATCACTCACCTCCACCACCCTTCATCTGCCACCACCGGCACCCAAAACAAAACCACCTACGAAAATTCAAAACTCAGAAACCCCAATTTAAATCTAAGTCAAGAATATATAGTCATACTAATCAAATAACATATTTATATACAAAAAAAGAACATTCACAAAAATCATATCATAAAAATCATATAACAAGAACATTCATAAAAAACAAAACATTCAAATAACAAGAACATTCACACACAAAAATTCAAAAACAATCATTAAAATCGGATTTTTACACACAAAAAATTGTTGGCTTCCAGATTCATATTCAAGAAAATTCTTATATCAAGACTTAAATCTAAATAAAAAGAATAAATCAAAAACCCTAATTAATATTCAAGGATGTAGATGCTTCAACAAACTTGAATCTGGATCTGCCTTCGAACCACACTTTGAAACCATACTCATGGATTTGAAGAAGAAACTATACTCGTGGATTTGTAGAAGAAACCTACTCGTGAAGTTGCAGAAGAAATCATACTCGTTGATTTGAATCTGGATCTGCCTTCAGTTTAGACGAAGAAATCGATGTCGATGACTTTCCTTGGAAGAAGGATGAGGCGAAGAGGACTTGCAGACAATGAAGTTAGGCAATGCAGAAAAAGATATGATACCATGGGTTTGCGAAGAAAAGGAAGCCAATGGGGTTGAGGAAGGATTTCAAGGAGCAATTTTTGTAGGGTTTAAGGGTAGATGGAGAGCTCCACATGACCAAAAAGAGGGTGGGGGGACGGTTTCATGGAAGACATTGATTTTCTTATAATAAAAATATTAATAAAGATTTTGTTTTTTCCAAAATACATTAAAATTAGGTGAAAAGATGAAAATGCCCCTCATGTGAGGGGCACATTATAGAGTTAACGGAGCCCAATTTGTCGGTGTTAGTAGGAGGGACCTATTTGGGCTCCGAAACACGATTTTTGAACCAGCAGTGCACTTTATAATTTCAAGGGACGAAAACCCAAAAGGAGATATTCATAAGGGGCCAAATATATAATTCACCCAAAACTAAAGTTCCATGAACTATGATTACCATGTACTCTTTATTTTCAAAGTCTTTTGAACCCTTAATCTCTAGTAGGTTGAGTTAACGATATTATGAGATGATTTTCGTTATATATTCATCGTGTCCCTGTTTTTTCACATTTTAAAATTGTTTCAAAGGCCTTCATATTTTCTAACCTTTTTGGTTCATCACCTCATATAATTGCTACAAAAGCAATGATCACAAAAACCACAAGTAACATAGTAACATGTATATGCTTTATAAAAAGATCGATCAGATCATTTTTTTTTCTTTAGGAAATTAAATGATACAGTTAACTGTTTGACGATGAGCTTTAAATTTTATAACGAAAACATATATGATAAAATAAGAATATACCACCAAATTTGAAGCTTTAAATTAGACAACTTTCTATTGTTTCCAAATACATTAAATCTTTACTAAGAAATAAATATCTTATCTTGTACAATTTTCTTTTAAATATTGAAAAGTTATTAGCATAATACATTAAATCTTTACTAAGAAATAAATATCTTATCTTGTACAATTTTGTTTGAAATATTGAAAAGTTATTAGCATTGTTTTTAAGGAGGTGGGGATCTCCAAAGAGAGATTTCTTTGCATTTATAGAGGGATAAACATGTGCATATTGATGTTTATTACTTTTCATGAATTTAGATTTATTACTTCAAATGAATTAATTAGATTTATGTGTATTTGTGTATATACAGATTATTCTTCATATGATTTAAATTATATCATCAATTTACAATTTTGTTGAATTTAAGCTATTATTTTATGTTATACTAATTAATTTTAACTGAAAGCTACAAAATGATCAAGCGAAAATAACCATATTTTAATTACAAAAAATGTAAAGTTACATTAAAAAAAAACCTTTTAAATTCTGGCAAAATGTTCAAATACAAACTTCATAAGGTTTTCTTTTAATGTATACTAAAATTTTGAAACATCCCATATATATTGTCAGAGATGGATAAAAGAAGATATTTTTATCATCAATTAAACCTATTTATTTAGCATAGGCCATATTTACGCGTGAAAACGATTTCAATTCGTGTAGAAGCATATCATAATTAAGTTCTTAAATCCATTTGTCCAAACAACATAATATACTATTTCCTTTTATATACACTAGTTGTGTACCCGTGCAATGCAGCGAGAGGCATGAATTTTAACGATTTTGAAGTTCCATTGGTTTTATAAGATAAGATTTAACGATGATATATGTTACACTTGGTCTTTACATATTAATATAATTTGAATAAATATGAGTTATGAATCCAATTACAGACTATCGATGAAAAAAATTGTATAACAGTTTAAAATCCAATATATTTAAAATCTGACATATTTAAATGACTCCACAAATGTATTCGATTTACACCAAGAGCAAATAACCAAGAAACTTGAGTTTTAAGATAAAACACTAAAACCAATAAAGAAAACTACAAATTTGATAGATCATAAGCCATGAAAAGACCAAAAAAGATGAGTTTTAGAATGAAATTTCAACTGCTTACCTTCTTTCTTGTCCAGAAACTCAGATTAAGGTTGAATTAATATATGTATATGTATATATATATATTTCAACAAAATCCAAGAACATATTAATTCAGAATATATTATACAATACAATTTGGACAGGCTAACCACAAAATATATAGTATATATATAAATAAATAACTATAAAAGTATAAATCGTAAATATTAAAAAATATTTTTTCACAGTATATATAATATATAATAATATAATTAAGTCAAAAATTATTCAATATTGGACTCATTTCGAAGGTATTAACGAGACGATTATAATGGTGTAACTTGTTAAAATAAAAATGTATTTTTTAAACATATTTTAATTGATATACGATTATGTATGTTAATTTGATAAATGTTTAAAATGAAACAATTAAAAGTAAAGAACGTAAAGTAATTTAGCTAATTATAGGGGTATAAAGTGTAAATTTAAAATTATAATTTAAAAAAAATCGGTGAGTGTATGTGAGGAGAGAAGGGGGTGAAAAAGTGAAAAAAATATAAAGAGTATCTTGATCATTTAGTATTTTAAGACTTTAAGACTTTTGTTAAATTTGCTTAATAAGATAGTATATATACATATATATATATATATATATATATATATATATCGAGATAGAGATGTGAGTTATTATACAACCCTTTACAGTTATACAGTTAATAAACTCAATCTCAACCGTTCATTTAATTTGGTAAATATGTGATTTAATAATAGTTTTGATTGTTTCATAATATATAATATTGATCATAATTAACAAGTCATAGTCATCTTCCATAAATATTTAAATCATAATAAATGAACTCTTATTATTTTCATAAATATTTCAATTGATTATACAAATTTAATAAGTTGCATTTGAAATGTTCTCTCTTTCTCTCTCTATATATGTGCATGTATGTATATATAATTGAAATACATTATCATCAAATTACAGTTTGGTTGAACTTAAATTATTATTTGATGTTACACTTTTTCAAAGGTATGAAAACGAAGCGAAAACACAAATAATTTATTGAAAAAAAAAAGAATGTACGTAGAATTACATTAAAAAATTCTAAAAAATCTGAGTTGATTTTC